TGGCTAAGTTAATCATGTTTTAGATATAATGGCCAGCTAACTGCTGGCGATAAACGGAGGCGACGAAGTAAGTTTGTTCTATGGAAAAGAGATGTGGCCAATGGAATTCGAAGATCTAATCATTATGTTGTGCCCAGTCCTCAAAATTCACATGTATGTATTTTATTATATTTTTATAAAATAACAAGAGATGCTTARTTGGTATATATTTTCCTAAACTAGAGAGATGACAAAAACTACATAAACATTTAATATAATTAAATTATATACTACTATGGTATAATTATTATATAAGGTTATTCTTATAAGAGTTAGTATACAATCAAMCATTTCTTAAAGTGAGAGCAAATATCCACTTCAAGAATTTCAAGAATTGTATTTGTGTTGTAAAAATGGTTGGAGAAAAAAGGTTGATAAATGTTAATATTTTCGCAAATTCAATATGTAATATTTATGTTTTAATACATAAATATTTTACTTAGATTTTAAATTACTGCTTTAAAATCAAAATAATAATTTCCWTGTGCAAATAAAACTATCAATACTTTAAAATAGTAAAAAATATCACTACACAAATAAAATATATTTTATATATTTCACAATATATATATATTCTAATTTTAAAATGCCTAGAAAAAGTGAAAAAATAAAATTACTTTTTATGAAAAATAAATAATTTTTGTTAGTCTTAGTTAGGTTTCTAACTGTTTTAATTTTTTTTAGACAAAGACAAAATTCTTTATTTTATAGAATTGAAACTAACAGCATAACATAATGTAAAATCTTRTTTTTACATWAATTTTGTTTACAATAAATCTCTATTAATGCATTTTTATGTTTAATGTTTAATTATTTAAAACATAAAAAGTGCGCATTAATTTCTTTGCTGCACATTAGAATAGTATATGTCAAATGCACCTTGTCATTGAGTAAGTCACTGTAATAGATTTGTTTAATTTGAATCCATTGATAAATCATTGCATACTTAAAACGTTAATAAAAAATTATTATTATATGGGTGAATATCTATTGCCATCAATAGTTAAACATCCTTGCTTTTTTGATGCTTTTAAAATTTAACTTTGCCATTGCAACATACATTTTTATAGTTTGAGTAAGGAAAACTATGAAGAAATTTGTATTAATTTTTCAAATTTTATATTGTTGAATATTAAAAATTGTATTAATTTTTTACTACCCACAAACAATTTTGAATATTATGCTTAATTTTATAAACATTTGATCTTCGAATGCTTATAAAAATATTATCACTGTATTTTAAACATTTTTTTATTTTCTAAAAGAGCAATTAATGAGGAACTTTGTTTTATTACTTACTTTACTACTTATTACTTACTACTGAAACAAGAGTTTAATGGCTAGTAAATTGAATTCATATATARAAAATTGTGAGTGTTGAAATAGTGTCAAGGTGTGTGTAAAGGAAGTAAAACTTCTTTACAGTGTTTGAAAAAAAAGGTTCATCAGGTCTAAGTTTGTAATGGAAAAATAAAAAATAAATTTTTTTCATTAAATATATTTATCATCGTCATACTAAAATCAGACAAATTGATTATTATTTATTACCATAGAAACCTTARGGTCCAAACAGACGACTGGATTTTTCTGATCACTTATTGATTTTAGTATAGGCTACTCCTATGAGTTATTTTAAGCTAATAGTTTTGTTAAGAGGGCTGTAGCCTCCACAGAATCTTAACCCTAGTTGTGGCTATGTATTTTAWTGTATAATGTATTTTACATTTTTTTTTAGGCGGTATTGGATAAAAACCAGCATAGCATTTCTTACACTTTATCTCGAACTGAGGCAGTTATAGTTGAGTATGTGAATGATGAAACAACTGATATGTTTCAGGTAATAAATTATAAACCTATCAGTATTAATTATGAATAATTACTTTTAAAACAAATTATATTTTGACTGCTTGACCTACTTAATTTATAAAAAAAATAATTTAAGATTTGTTAAATTGTTTTTCAAATTTTCAAATTGTAAATTAGGTTGAATATTTTAAACCTAATCGTGAGTTAAATAACTATACAGTAAATTATATCTATACATTTTGTTTTGTGTTTATTTGAATCACTATACTTTGTTTATCAAAATATTTAAGACTATSAACTGTTTAAAATTTAAATGCAATCTGTACCTATATTTTTATCTAGATTGTATATGAGTATTGGATCATATGATTAAGTAATTTTTGGTATGTTCAAATAAAAATATCCTATAAATACTATTCACACATTAGGATTTATCTACAATCATAGATAACGGATATAAAAAATAAAATATAATGTTTGTAGTTTCATTTTTTTTATTCAATTACAAGCGAATACTTTGTTCTGGTATATTTTTCATAATATTATGATCTATGAAAAAATATTGTACTTTGGAAACATGGTCTTAGAATAAATAAATAAATAAATAACCATGACATGTACATTGATATCATCAGCCTGGTAATAAGTTTTAATGATCAAGTACAAAAATATTTGTTTGGTTTATACTGTTTAATTTTTGGATTGTTTGACAATGTACATAATTAGTTAGAAACATAACAGGTATTGTTAATATCTAAATTAACAATTTAACATCAAGTCAAGGTTAATTCCAACAAATATATAATTAATGAATTTAATTTTAAATTGATAAAATTAAATCTACGTTTGATACTAATTAATTGATGTATTAATGATATACATTTTGTTTTGCATACACTATTTTTTGTAGGTCGGAAGATCTTCGGATTCCCCWATAGATTTTGTTGTGATGGATACTAACACTGAAAAGAATGCAGCAGCAATAAATAATTTATCTATTGTTGATAATAAAAAAACAGCTGCAGCAAGTACAATTTCAAGGTTTGCTTGCCGCATTATTTGCGATAGAGAAAATACCAATATAGCTCGTTTATATGCAGCAGGATTTGATTCTTCTARAAACATATTTTTAGGGGTAATAAAATATTGAAAATTTGTTTTTAGTAACAAAATATTGTATTTTGAATCTGGTTGATTCCTAATTTAGGAAAAAGCAACTAAATGGAAAGATGGTGAAGAAATTGATGCACTTACTACAAATGGAGTATTGGTTATGCATCCGAGTGGAAAGTTCTACAAGGGAAATACAGAACCAGGAATTTGGCTTGAAGTTTCTGTTTGTGGCAAGCTATTTTCTCTACGTGGGTCTAGATCAGCTCAACTTAAAGGTGATATGGTAAGTAACATTTTCATGACACTGCTGTTAAGTGTATACCATATATAACATAYATTTATATTTATCATACTTAAATCCATTTTTAATTTTTTTTTGTAGGTAGATGACTCTGACAATATCCTTACTGATGGGACTTTAATTGATTTATGTGGTGCAACCTTGCTTTGGAGGTCAGCGGAGGGTCTCAGCTTATCTCCTGTAATTATAAATTGATAATTAGTATTTTTTGTCCCTATAAAATAATGGTT